AGTATCACTTCTCAAAATCATTATGTTTAGAGCATAGCTCATCTAGCTTTGTGTAAAAGTCACTCTGCTCTGGTGGCCGGTAACACACTCCTACCAATATTGGCTTGCATTTAGGAAATAAAATATTAGCACAGACGGCTTCAATGTGATCTTCGTTTAAATCTATTCTTACATTAAAAACAATATCTCACCTAACAAAAATACAGACCCCTCCTCCCCTCCTATTTCGATCTTTCCTCAATACTGTGTAATTCTCTACTTCAATCTCAGTGTCTGATATTGAGGAGTCCAGCCAGGATTCTGAAATGCAGACAATACCTGCCATACAACTATGTACGAGCTGTCTAATTTGATGAATTTTATTCAACAGACTTCTCAAGTTAAGATGTATATGTAGTCCCTTTACTGTACAAACGTCTGTAATCTTCATGTACGTGTGGTGACTTGCCTCCCCACGGATCTCCTCTGCTGCTATGCTCGTTGCAGTCCGCACAAACCCACAGGGAGTCCACTGTTGATCCGCTGTTGTGGACCACAGTAATGAACCACGGATCTCCTCTGCTGCTATGCTCGTTGCAGTCCGCACAAACCCACAGGGAGTCCACTGTTGATCCGCTGTTGTGGACCACTGTAATGAACCACGGATCTCCTCTGCTGCTGTGCTCGTTGCAATTGGCACGAACCCACTGGGAGTCTGCTGCTGATTGTCTTTCCGCTCGACCTGCTCTTCCCCACTGTGCCGCCTGGTCAGCTGCGGTGGACCACGGATCTCCTCTGCTGCTGTGCTTGTTGCAGTCGACATGAACCCACAGGGACTCCGCTGCTGGCCGTTGTTTGATTCCGCACTCACTGTTCTGCTACCCCGGTGAGTTGACCTGCGTATTTCCGCTGCTGCTAGGCTGCAAGCTGTAAGTGCATACCCACAGTGAGGACGCTGTCGGCTGCTGTTAGCTACCGGGCTAGCAGGCAACCCAGCAGGTTGGTTGTGGTCAACCAACCAACCAACCAACCAACCTGCTGGGTTGGTTGGTTGGTTGACCACAACCAACCCAGCAGGTTGGTTGTGGTCAGCTGTCACCTGAGAGTATTAGGCATAAGGAGATTACTGTGTGAAGATGTCCTTTGCCTCTCCGTGCTAGGGGTCGCCCCACTGCAAGATGTTAAAAATCACCACACACCCGTGTCCAAAGTGTTTGTCCACTGTGATTTCATCCTGGACGATATAAAAGTTCGGGAAGTTTACGATATCTACCCCGACTTGAGCTCTTGTGATTGGGATGCATTGTAAACGAGTTAAAAAAGTTACGATGGTTAAAATCATGAGTAGTCCCAGAGCTGTGTCAGAGGCCAACCTGCGTGCCACCATAGTAGAAAGATGTGTAGCCTACTTGAGACTTACATGACATGTAGGGATAGTTATCCTATATATGACATTAGCATTGAGTATCTTTTGCTTTTTGCTTGGATGATGATGAAACTACTCTGAATATGTCACATGAAAGACTTTAAAGTAACACCAGACTGTTTCTACTACTGAAGTAAAGGTGGAAAAGTAGCCCTGATTGGACTGACTCAACTATCTCATGCCCAACGTTGGGCATGAGATAGTTGAGTCACGAACACAGTGGCAGATGGACAAAGTTTGGAGACAAGTGAAAGACGGCCTAGCAAAAGAAAACAAGCTCCTCTGTCTGGGGAGGCAAAGAAGAGCAAAAAGGAGAGTGATAAAAGAAGAGGAAAAACAAATGCAAACCTCAGTCAGGCGTTTAAGAGATGGAGGGAGCTCCATGACCAAAGAGGCTTCAAAACCGATGTCCAGCTAGCTTTCTTTCTAAGGGATCAGTAAGTAACACAGCTAAATGTTAGCTAGACGAGAGAGGACTGTACTGTACTGGCTGCTAGTTCATTCCTAGCTGGCCAGCATCACAAATTGATGCAACCAGGGACCGGGTAGCGAGTGTTGGTCAGCTGACATCCTCGTTGCCATTCTACGGCAGCCCTCGGACAGTGATAATCCCCTCCCTTCCTTCTGTTCTCTTCTCATGGAGGCAGCCATTGACGGACATCGCCCAGCTAAGTTACGCCCAGCTAAGTGAACACTGAACTTTGTTTCCCATTCAATTTGAGCTCCAACCGGCCGCATCGTTACCATACGGTACCGTTTATTCTAGAATCAGGACTGTTTACATGTACATATTAGTATAATTCCATTGTGTCTACTGTTTGTACTGATACTGTACATATTGCTATAATTTACTGTGAGTTGTTTGTACTGGTACTGTGCATTCTGGTATAATAATGTATTTGCATTACTATTTGTTTTTTTCTTCAGATAAATCTGATAATTGTGGTTTGGTCTCTTTACTCATTTATTTGGTAGAGTGTCCAAACATCTTCTCATTCTACATATACATAGAGGTATACCGGTGGCTTTACAGCCTATATTTTATTGATTATCTCTGATCCCCATGGTCAATTTGGTCATTGCGACAGTGCAACGCAACACCACTGACGTTAGGTGGCACCAAGCTAAAAACAAAACGAATCCTATCTGTTGCCTCTTTGAAGGATCTGGCATTCACAGAAACTTTTGTCAGAGTATATGTACACTATATCAAACAGTTTAATGGGCCACTTCAAAGGAGCTGAACCCAAAGAAAATACTGAAGCACGCAATTCACTTAAATATTCAATAAGTTCCAAAATGACCAACATTTCAATGCGCATTGTGTCTTCATCAGAGAGAGATACTCAACTGCATTAAGTTTGCATGGAAATCCTGTGTTTATTGTCTGTATCCAAAGGGCTTCCCTACTTAGTAATTTATTGACCACATCACTAGTGATGGCCTCATGAAGCCTCATGAAGCATTTTCTGCATTTTCTGAACCCACTAGATGGCACTCTTGGTTTAAAAAGAGAGGCCCAAAGAATGGCAATTCAGTGTGTTTTAAACCTTTTGTTGAACAAAAAGCGCCATCTAGTGGGCTCAGAAAATAAAGAAAATGCTTCATGAGACTTCATTTGGCCATCACTACATATCACCTCTTCTCTGGGATGGAGATTTTTTTTTTTTTATTGCCCCAGAATTTAAGCGAGTAGTAAAGCCACGGTTTGCTTGAGCATAATATCTCACTATTGCATAATCCATGTTGTGATTGTGAAGTGAAAAGCATACTTGGTTAAAGTAATCTGTAATTTCAGATAACGTTTGGCCTGCCCCGCATATACAAATCCACAGGGATATTTCAACATGTATACAGCATGGGTAGTGTTGCAGTTATGACTGAATTTATCTTATGCTTTTTTTCCTGTATAGGGATGAAAAAATATTTAGTGTCAGATCATTTTAAGCAGTGTGTACAGTGTCCACAGCAATAGAAACCAGCAGGGGGAGCTGGCAACCACGTAGTAATTCATCTCTGTGTTAACCAGCCTGTCTTTGAGGGAATGTGGCCTTCTAAAAGAAATCAGCCCCTCTGCTTGAAACGCAAGTGACTCCTTCATCATATGTAAACTATATATGAACACTGATACTTTGACAGTCACCAGCTCATTTCATTTCCACTGGGTGGCCACACCTTGCCGGCTCACAAAGGGGCGTGTCTGTGACAACCAATCACATCTGTTAAAAGAATGCATCATACCTGGCAACAGGGTTAACCACACCTCCTCACCAAAGTAAAAGTTTCTGTCCTTTCCTTGCTCAGAGTTCCTCTGAGAACTTTCTTAAATCACTCTTAAACTAGGACTCCTTACTTAAAAAATGTAGGCTAAGTTAGGAGCACTCTGAGAGAATTCTGAGAATGTTTGTGAATACGACCCCTGAGCTCTAATATGACAGTGTCTGAAAGATACAGTTTATAGTTATCTAATTGTTTAATGTGATCTCTCTGCTGATGAGAGGTTTAGACAGACCCAAGTCATCACTGCTGCAATGTTGCATTTTTCTAGTTTTCCAAATATTTTAGTGTTGTGATCATTTTATTTCTGGCATTATAGCATTAAGTGGGAAATGTGTGTGTATCCTTAATGATATCAACCACACATACTATCCCTGCATGATCAAATCTGCAGCATTTAATTTGCTCACTGTAACCCAGTGTTTGGAGAATATTTCTCCTACCTCTTTCTCTTTCTGTCATTTTCTCCTCTGATTAAGAAACTCTTAAGCCTCTTAAAAGTCCCCCTCCCTTCTCCTAACAGTTTTTCACATTAGTAGCTCTTTTAAGGTCTAAGATACTCTGTGACTAACTTTAATCTCTTAGCACTAGAAAGCATTGTGAATACGGCCCAAGATCATTGCAGGGGTGCGCAATGCCATCGTATCTTGCACTTTACATAGGGCCTCTGTCACTGTGAATAAGACAGACAGAAAGCATCAGATGTATCTGCATGAATGGAGAAGACTGCAAGATGGCACTTTGCACCTTTGCACTTAATGTCAGACAGTAATATCCAATGTAAAAAAGAGGCCATTCTAGTGCTTTCTTCAAAGCCAGACTCCACTGAGAAAACCAGTGATTTAACATTGCTGAACACAGGACCTGCTGGTCTACCACTGCCTTCATCAGCTAGTTTGTTTGTGTTATTGTGTGACTTTGGTTGTTTAAAAGAGTTAGTTTGGATTCACTAAAGTCACACAGTAACACAGACTAACTGATGAATTGAGACAGCAGTAGACCAGTAGCTCTCATGTTCAAAGAGGTAAAACTGTTGTTTTTGTCAATGGAGCCTGGTGGCGTTAACGAGAGCGTAGTTAGGGAACTAAAGCCGTTTAAGGCTTCCACGTCAGAATGAGCTATCTGTCAGAAAGTTCAAGCACTGATAATACTCTCAATATAGCATACACTTAAACTGATATTTTTTGTTTATTTTGATTGTTTTAGGTGGGACTCTTTTCAGGTGGTTAAAAACGTTTTCTGCTGATCCATCTACATCTAGCTTAGCTTCCATGTCAGACTCCAGCCTGCTTCTCCAAACTAAGGGGGTGCTGACTAACATCAACTGTATGTAATATACTGACTATGGGTAGGAAAATTAAATTCAACTTGGTTGTCCTCCATAGTGATACAGTTTAACATGTTTTTGACATAGAAGTAGAAATAGAAGCATTGCTTTCTAACAGCTTTTGGGCAGAAATGACAGTAATAAAAATCTTTTTTTTTTTTTTTTACCACAAAATAAGCTAAGTTTTACATGTTTCTCACACAGATATTGCTTTCTAAGGGCTTTTGGAAAGAAATGGCATCTTAAGTTATGAAAGTGAAAAAAAATCACCTTTTCACTTTGAAATAAGCTTAAATTAACACATTCTGCTCTTGAATGCACCTCAGTCTCTCCCTGACAATCAGCCACACCTGCTCTCACTCTCCTGATCACCCACACCTGCAGCTCATCCCCAGCAATCAAGCCGACATAAAAGCCTCAGTCCCACACTCACCAGTTGCCAGATTGCACTTTGCCATGCAAGACTTTCCAGCGGTTTCCTGCCTGACTCTATGCTTCTGACCCTGTTTGTTCCCGACCTGCCTGCTCTGTCTGATCCCCGGTAAACCACCTCAGCCTTCTGTCCTTGACCACGAGTTTTGCCTTGTCCTCCTGGTTTCTATCTGCCCGACAGGTGGATGTCCACTGCGATCTCCAGTCTGCAGTGCTCTTCTGTGTCTTGCAGGCTTTTGAACTGTGCCCTTGTCCAGCCTGCTTTTTCAGAGACTGTCTTAAGTTCTCACCAGAGAGATCACTCAACTGCTATCTTAAAGACTCAATGAACTGTGCTCTTGTCAGACTATTCTCTGCTGTCTGCCCTGAACCTGGCTGTGTGCTGAAAATAAAAGAAGCTGTGATTGAACTGATTCTGTGGTCCTATGTACTGCTTTTGGGTTCATACCACCCCACTAACATGCAGAATCAGTAGGTAACTTCTTGGGGGGGAAAAAAAAAAAAAAAAAAAATCAACCTGTGTTGTCCTGCACAGCTTTCGAGGGGCCATATTCACAAAGCTTCCTATAGTACTCAGAGTTGCTCCTAGTGATGGAATTCTTAGAATTGAGACATTTTCTTAGAATTTCTCCTTAAAGTTAAGACTAGGTTCTTGTATAGATAAGTTATTCACAAAGCAGCTTAGACCCTAAAAGAACTAAGGTGAAAAACTGTTAGGAGCAGGAGAGAGAACTTTAAGAGCTTCTTAAGCAGGGGAGAAAATGGAAGAAAGACATGAGGTCAGAAAAATATTCTTCAAATGCTGGATAACAGTGAGTAAATGAAATGCTACAGATTAGATCTTGCAGGGATAATATTTGTGATTGATCTCATTAGAGATACGCACACATTTCCCACCCAATGCAATAACTATAATGCCAGAAACAAAATGACCACTACACTAAGAAATTTGGAAAAGTGGAAAAATGCAACAGTGCAGTTTAATGTTTGCTCCCAGAATTTGCAGGAATTTAACTGAATCCATTCTTCCTCCTACCTATTAAATGTTTCCTGTGCCACTGGCTGCAACACAAGTCCAAAGCATGATCGATACACCCCAGTTGGACAGGTGTTCTTTTCATTAAATTCTGCACCCTTTTTCTCCAAACATACCTTTGCTCATTGTGTCCAAAAAGTTATATTAACTTCATCAGTCCACAGGACTTGTTCAGATGTTTCATTGCAAACTTCTGATGCTGAATTTTGTGATGAGGGCACTGAAAAAGGTTTTCTCCAGATGACTCTTCCATGAAAGTCACATTTGTACAGGTGAAGCTGCACAGTAACAGTGCACCACCACTCCAGAGTCTGCTAAATCTTTCTGCAGGTCTTTTGCAGTCAAACGAGAGTTTTGATTTGCCTTTCAAACAATCCTACAAGCAGCTCTCTTGTAACATTTTCTTGGTCTTCCAGGCCTCAACTTGACCTCCACAGTTCCTGTTAATGGCCATTTCTTAATTAGCCTATATTATGAGCTGCGGAAACAGCTACCCAAAAATACTTTGCTATCTTCTTGTAGCCTTCTCCTGCTTTTTTTTTTTTTTATTTAGACAAAACAGTACATAAATCACCAAACACAAATAAAAAAAAATAAAAATAAAATAAACAAATCAGACATAGCTCACACTAAAACAAACACATACCTTAACATATATCATGACAATGTATATCAGCAGGCCTAACCACCTAAATAAACAACAAAATCATTAACAGTCGAGGTAGAAAAAACAAAAATAAAACATATTTCAAATCAATACAAACTACTACCAGCCTTGTACATCAATAAACCTGTCCCACCTTTCCAGATGTTTTTCAACATCCCCATTTGCATTTGCAATACATCCTTCCAAAACAAAATAACGTTTAATAAACATTCTAAATTGATTGATATTCAAAGAATCCACATCAATAGCTTCAAAAATAAATCTTTTTTCCAACAAGATAATTAGTTTAATAATATAACTATTTGTTTCAGTTACATCACCTAATATCACAGAAAAAAAAATAAAATTGAAAACTCAAATTCATTGCGTGACACGTCTTTTGAATTTCCCTCCAAAAGACAGACACAACATGACAATACCAAAAAAGATGTACAGTAGACTCAGATTCCATGAAACAAAAACGACACTCATCAGACTCAGCAATACCCCAAATCTTTAACATTTTCCTAGTAGATAAAAAATTATAAATTATTTTTAACTGAAAAGCTCTCATAAATGTATCTACTGTTGTTTTATATATCAACCTGAACACTTGCTCCCATGGTACAGGACGATCAAAAATGTCCTCCCATTTTTGCAGGTTTTATATGGAAAAATTCTTACGGATTTAAAATTTCCAATCTGTTCCTAGAGCAGAAATCAATTGATTATATGTATGAGAAGAGCAGATTGTACCATAAATTTCAATGAACTGATTATACTTCATAAGTTTCCCTTCTTCACACACAATATCATTTATAAACCAAACACCATGATCAAAAACATTCTTCCAAAATACTGTTTTCCCTTCATTTACAATGTTTGAGTTTAACCATATTATTTGCTGTAAGATTTCATCTCGACTTTCTGGAGGATGAAACTGAAAGCATAACCAGCACTGAATCGCTTCCTTTAAAAACACAGATACATTTCCAATTAGATTGGAGCCGGGGGCGGGGGGGCTTTGGACAACCTTGTTAGGACTGCAGCTCTCTCAGTCCCCCCTCCCTTCGCGTTTGCAAGTTTAGAGTGGAACTGTAAGTTTTTTGGAACTGTAAATTGGAAAATTAAAGGTGCAGTAAGTCTGGTCACCCTCGACCACCTTCCCTTCCAGGACCAGGTGATGATCAGCGTTGGCTGTAGTTCCATCACTCCACCGCAACTTGAGATTGGTAACCAGGCTGGTAGCCCGCAGAGCTGCTACGCGCCCCCACAGCCTTCATCGGCCAGTGCCGAGTCCTCGATCAACACTTATTATTGATGACTCCATAATCAGAAATGTGAGTGTCCACAGAGCTCATACCCTCTCTTTCCCAGGCACCACAGTATGAGACATTGCTGATAAAGTCCCGGACATAATAAAATCTTACCCCAAAATTGACAGGCTCATCATACACATCAGAACAAATGACATTCAAAAACAGCAGTCCAAACTGTTAAAACAAGACTTTATCAATCTATTTAACATCCTCAGAAAGTCCCACAGTACAGTTTACATCTCTGGACCCACGCCCACTCTTTACCATGGAGTGGGGCGGTTCAGTAGGTTGCTTGGCATAAAAACATGGCTGTCTGCATGTGACCCCAGCGACAAGCATTTCATTGACAATTTCAATCTCTTCTGGGAACGTGGATATCTTTTCAATGCAGATGTTCTCCACCTGAACAAAGCTGGTACACAAGCGCTTTCTGCCAACCTGGCATACAGCCTCTGCCATTCACGTGCCCCCACACCCACCTGCCTATTACATCATTACAACGGCAAACATCGGCCCAGGGTTGACTGGTCCATCAGTATTTGAAGTTCCCCCGGTCCTGGTTCCTACCACAATGGTTCCGCCATGTACACAGGTGCACTTTCTACCGGGCTCTGACCATTTAATGACATTTAGCATTCCTGTCAGCACTACCAACAGGCAATTACAAATAAATTATATTATAAAATATGTTGATATTGTGCCCTCTGACACTGCATATCATACCAATATGGTGTAATATGCATAGACCTTCTTGTGCCTGTAGCAGTAATCTCATCACAATCAATGTATTTAAAAAATCTAAACATGCCTTATCACAGAACCCTCCCTCTTCTCTGAAATTTGAAGATTTCAAGAGGACAAAAGGACTTGGTCTGATGCATATCAACAATTATGAAGAAAATTTCAAGATTACATTAATATTTGTACTTTCAGCAACAATCCTGACATTTTAGTGCTTTCAGAAACCTGGTTATTAACATCAGTTGGAGATGATGTTATTAACTTAAACAACTGCAATTTATTTAGATGTGACAGACTCACTATGGGTGGAGATATAGCAATCTATGTCAAAAATAACATCAGCACATTCCAGTTAGTATATCTGTGCCAAAACAGTATGAACTATCAATTTTAAATATGGAATTAAGTAAAAATGCTTGTTGTACTGTTGGTATTTATTCTTCCAGTAGTGTACTTCCATTAGATATAAGGGATCATTGCCCAACAGTATGTATGTACAACAACAGAAATCCCAGATGTTGAACTAGCATTAAATTATTTTTCAAATATCTTTAACTCAGTTGTTAACAAGCCATTTGAGAAGTTAAAACTAAAACATATATTAAGCCTTTGATTCACCTCTGAACTATCAAATCTGTTCCAATTAAGGAACAAAGCATGGCCCATAGCTAGATGTTCTGGGAAGCCCTCCCATTGGCTTGCTTTTAGGCAGCTAAGAAATAAATGCACCTTCTTGACAAGAAAAGCTAAATCTATTTTTTACTTAACCTCAATCTGCAGCAAAATTCTGGAAAGTAGTAAACTCAACTAAAAACAATGCTTCCTCTCTGCCCACTCATGTCAATTCCGGAAATATCACACTGACTGAAGAACATTCAACAGACATTTTGTTGCAGCTGGTCACCTGTGTGAAGACAAGTGTATGAGTTCACCTAATTCTACAAATGCATATAATAATGATAATTATGTGCATAAAGTAAACAATGACCCTCAATTTGCCCTCCACCCCTTCAAGCCATTGACTGGAGGTGGCATTGACTTCAAATAACTGGAGGGGGCAATTTGGCTCCCTTTCCCTTTCCCTTTCTTTCAAGCTTGCAGCTCCCATAATTTCAGGGCACATAACACATACTTTAAATTCAACTGTTTCAACTGGTATAATACCAAAAGTGTGGAAGTTGACTCATGTTTTACCTCTGACCTGAACAACTATCGTCCATTTTCAAAACTGTCTTGTCTGTCTAAAATTCTAGAAACATTAGCAAACAATCAACTCAAGTTATTTTAGCTCAATATGCTGTATTAACCCCCCACCAATCTGGCTTCAGATCAGATCATAGCACTATCTCTGCTACTTCCTTAATTTTAAATGACATTGTGTCAGCTGTAGATAACAGGAAGCACTGTGTTACTCTTTTTATTGATTTATCAGCTGATACAGTTGATCATTCTCTCCTCCTAAAAAGACTATCAAATATTGGATTTGATCCACAAGCCATTAAATGGGTCTAAGGACCAGTGCTAATCACAATTGTTATGTTCCGACCTGTCTAGGGAGTTCAGGAGTAACAATAATAAAAAAAACAATACATACTGAGGGAGGGAAAAAAGAAGCGCTGGTAGGGTAAACGTAAGCCAAATATTTTATTAACGAACACAAAACAATCCTCC